CTATAGTAAATGGGTGGTGTTAACCTTCAGGTGTTATGGTGTACAGCATTTTAAGGAGGTCACAATAAAGGTTTCGTCGGATAGCAGAACTTCTGTGCTTTGATGAGGCAGAAACCATGAAAATTGCCATTTTCATCAACCGTGTCAAGCGCCCTCCTGTTGATCTGTATTTATATGCATGCATTAAAAACTACGTAGACAGAAACGAAAAGGATTTTATTTAAGGGCAGATCTAGTGGTAAGAGATATTTTATAGTCTATAAAGGTTGAAGAATACCGATGAAGTAAACAACAGTTTCTGGCAGACGGCGGACTCCTCCTATCCCCGATGTGTTATAGTTTTCATACGTAACAACGGACTGTAAAACTAACTTTTGTTGCAATAAAAAGGAAAATTTTGCTCGTAAACACTGTTCGTTGACTTTCCGATGAAGAATTCTTTGGTGAGAAGACACTCTATACGAATATATATATATATATATCAGTTGAGATGACTGGCATCGTTCTACTGTCTGCAGTATAAAAACAAAAAGTAATGTTTAGCAAAAATTAACCAAAGGAAAACATCTGCACAACGGTGAACCGATGAGATATATCAACGTGAGGCGTTCGCGCCCTTGAGAAGGTACAAACAGCCAGGACATGGGTCAATGTCTTCCGCTATAGAATTTCTGTTACGTTTATTAGGTACTCGCAAAAGCTGTTCCCCTGTTATTGTACAGGAAAATATCTCGGCTTGGTCTATCAAAAGTCAAATATTTTTGATATTTAAGGGACCAGTGTATGAAGTGGTCAAAATCTGGGACCATTTGGGATAATTATAATAGAACGAATCGAACATTTATTTTTTGGAGTTTCCACATCGAACTGAAAGCATTTGTAATTATTATTTTCCATATTTGTCTATATCCTCTGCCAATAAACATATTTTCAACATGTCTGGACTGATCAGTGCTCGATACTAGAGGAAACACAAAAAGTTAAATATCTGTACAATGTGACAGTTAAATCATTACGTGTGTGGCCGGTATCTTTTCCTTTAATAAAGCCGATATTTTTATATTCCTTTTGGTCATAACGATAGTCTGTAGTCTGACCAAGATTTTGTGCGATCGATGTGAATGTCGTCTCAGAATTTCGTACCATGCATACACAGTAATAGCGTATGTGTCTACAAATGTCCACCGAAGGCACTGCCCACCCAAGTTACGCTTCTCTGTTGATCACCTTTGCAATGTCCCGCTTACGCTGCTTCTGACTATATTATATACATGAGTTCGTTTATAGGGCAGCAGATAAACTTGCCTCGAACAAGCACGAGGTAAAGGAGGGCGTCGAGATCCCCTTTTATGGTCGAAGCTTTGCGTCTAACTGTTCTCATGCGACAAAACTAATACTGAAACATACAAATGTGACTGCTTATATATATATATATATATATATATATATATATATATATATATATATATATATGCAGCTGAGTGTTGCTACTTGCTCTTTCCTGAAGGACATGTGACTTGGCGTTACCGCCGTAACCATCGCCGCTCGGGAACTCAGCCGCCGAAATACTTCGACACGCTACCCTGGCGCACGATCACAAACGATTGTGGTACATCTTCGATGTTAAGTTGACATACGCAAGACCGCGTCAGTCCTGAAGGGTTGAAATATGTACATATATACACATCTTTGTCCTTTGTTACGATGGTGACAACAGATAACAAAGGGTAACAGAACAAAAATTCGATACGACGCGGCGCCAGGCACACAGCACGCGTACCAACAAGGCATCGGCATCATTCACCGTAACCATCGACATAACGTTAATGGCTGCAGACGACAAAGCAGGACACGAAACAAGCTGCATGTTTATGACCATGCACAATTATGGGGCAGGCGCCGCTGTCGCTGCTATGGTCATCGTCTGTGTATTGCCGCAAGATAGCGGGCGATCAAATACGAGGGGAAAAGTTTATGTTGATAAAGCATTACTACGGCCAGGGACAAGTACCAGCTTTTACGCTTAATTATCAGATGTGCTCAATGCTTTGGAATGATAAAGGAATTATACCAGGGCAGGCTTGATTGAGACACTAAAAAGTGTTTTGACGAGAAAAATCAATGCTCTATTAACGAGCGCTATGACTATTATGGTAACAGGATGCGAGCTAGAATGAAAAGACGACGAATAGAAAGAACATAAATGCAGTCATTAGTTTTTACGGGGTGTCGTTAGTCATGGTGCTTGATTACTTGTAGCGGAGCGCTTTTGCAGAAGCATATATCCAAAATGTTCGCTGTTTATCCAAAGTAACGGCTTTAATTTGAAATGGTTTGCCCCACCTCTAAATACGCGCTGCACGGCCGATATGCACGTGATATTTCGTATGTGTTGCATGCGAGATAAGCAAGAGCTGCTTGTTTAATAACATAAGGGTGCCTCTAGAACGCGAAACAGATGCATCATTATAGATATATAACATCGTATTGTAGCAGATAGACTGATTTCGGATAACTATATTTTACCTCTGTAATCTTTTCAGAATCAGGAATATTACAGCTTAGATAAATACTAATTTAGGAATGCCTTTATCTCATTCTATGATGACCGTTTATAACAGTCTATGAATAGACCCTCAGTTTAAGTAGGGCACTTTACAATCAGGAACTTTTCAAACGAGATTATACAGGTTTTTAATAAAATTAGACACATCTAAACTCCAAGTTCGATCTGAGTGGAAAAGGGTTCAGTTGGTTTCGATTTTGAAAGTACCTGAAAAGCGCCTGAGCTGACTAAAAAAAGCTAGATTTGAAATAAAAATTTCATTAAAAACAGATCGTAAATCAAGGCAAAAAAAAAAAACGGTAAAAATGTCAATTTATAAAACTTTCCAAATTTTAACATGCCATTACGTATGCAGAATGTGTCTGGCTAGCAACTGTGAGAACCAATGACCAATGAGAGAGTATCGAAGAACTTTTTAAATTATTTTTTATGGATAAATAAGGTTATTTAGGTTCGAAGCTAAGCGCAGATACATTTAGTTTTGTGGTGGAGGTCGACCGATTTAAATCATACCTAACTTCGCTTTCCAATTGAAAAATATATCTACTGCTAGTGTAGTCAATACTTGAATAGCGACATCTGAATATTATGCGGAAGTACTTATACCAACAACAACAGTAAGAACAGTTCTAGGCGTGAAGAGTATTTTATTTTTTGGCGCCTACAGTTGATGATCGACCTGCTACCTCAGTGGCTTATGAAGCTGCTACTAAAATAATCCTACGCATTAGGTCAGAAATGCGGGTTGCCCATCATAGATATCGAACAATACCAGGAACATGTGTGCTGGCCTAATCCTATGACTTGGCGACCTCACAACCTCATATCGGTGAGATCTGATTCTGCTAAATTTGGAACAGTCTAACTCAATTGTGCAGAAGCGGAAGTTATGCCTCACTATTGTTTATGGAGGTGCCAGAAGTGCGGGAACCGCGAATCCTAAAGTCAAGGTTGCCCCTCACTTCAACGGACGCCTTGCAGCCACAGTATCCTACGCAATGTTTGATACATCAACAAATGACTGCTTAGTTGCTTTTGGGGCGGGGCACATTATTTGACTACTCAAGCTGTGTGCGGCTCTTAAGGGGAACTATGACAGAACCCCATTTATTTTCTGATGCTATTAATAACAGTAATACGAAAATTTATGGACTATGGGAATATTACACTAAGTGAGGGGGGTGCTACTGCGTACTGGGCTACATATGCGTTCTACATTGCCCCGCAATTACGATGAAGCATAGATATGATGTTGTCAAGGTGTTGCCACGGGCTGTACTGGACTTTATTTAACTACTCTGAGTATTATTTATGCCCTACATAGGAAATCGTACATATAAAAGCAAAGGCGTTCTAGTGTTTATCTTGAACAGAAGCCAGCTACGTATTCGGCAAACTTATAAATGACCCACGATATTTTCATTTTTTACGCCATAAGTCTTTTGGCCATAGAAAAAATAAAGGAAGAACCGCGTTACGTTGTGTTTTTAACGCACGATGAACAATGGCGCAAGCAAGAGACTCTATTCTTCATTCAGTCAAGGCCGTCTGCGTTGTTTTCTATGCACGCAATTCGTTCGAACCAGTGTTTAAGATACATAGAGCAGGCAGGGCACTGAAATAGCCTTTAATACGGCCCATCCGAAGAAGCCAACTGGTGACTTAATAGGTGTTTGAGCATCGTTCAATTCGCTAGATAAACGTATAGAATTTTGTTAATTCGTTTGCCGGTATTTTTCTTGCGTTATTAAGTATGAGCAATTTATCCGCTTCTCAAATGCTCAGTTACAGCATGTCGTCTTTAAGATGGGCAATGATGCACCTGATGCCTTAGAATCGGGTTCTTCTTGGAACCGTAATTATGGTCATAAGCCGGTTGCGTATATGGTTAGCTCAGCTAAAATGAAACGTCCAATGTTTACGGGCCTCTTCGAAAGAAGGGGTCCGTAAACGTCGAAGATCTTTGTCCAGCAAAATATTTAGTCTTCTATAAGCAAACATAGAAGTGTCGTGAGTATCTGGCACGAAGCGCTATAATTCGACAATTAATCATGAATATATCTCACTATGAATAATTCTCATCATACTGCGTTTCAACAGTGTTTCGTGCATGTAAGAACAACGTAATTGTAGAATTCGTCAGTCGTGGAGACCCACTGCCGATCTATCGATCAGCTACGAGATATTCTACCTTATTCCATCACCGCTTCTAGAACCACTGGCCGGAGCCAAGTGGGTCAACGGACGAGTGGATCTGCTTGCGTTTGGATTAATTGTGCTTCTGTGAACTGCCGCATAAAATACACGAAATTTGGTTTCGGGATGAACGTTATCTGTGACCAATAGCTTATTTAGAATAGGGATACATTAGTCTATCTAAATGAGAGAGGATCTTTCATACTGACTCATATTATCCACTTTCTGCTTATTTCAGCTGGATGAATATTTCGCTGAAGGAGAGGTGGATCGCGTGAATAAATATGATATGTGAGTATATTTAGACACATTTAATAGGACTGGCATATTCTTCTATACCATATACATTGGGCTGGCACCCTGTAGGTCGACCTAAGCTTGAAGTGACTTTCGTCAGCTTCACAAATGCGTGTCGCGCATCAAACGCGTTACCAAATACTGATCTAAACGGACGCTTCTACATAGCAATTTCTACCCCGGTAACTTATAGAGATTCTATTATCCATATTCCGATATAGTACCCCAACGGCAAGCTAACGAGGATCAAATAAAAAAAAAAAAAAAAACGATAGAAAGAAAAAGCTAGTTCTCAAGATTTGTGCTGATTTAATGCAAAATGCTGAGGTTATCCAAACTTGCGATGATAATAACCTCTGGTTATAGCATTATGATATAACGCTAGATGCTGTAGGGTGGTTTATCATTAGGATTATCTTTCTTTTTGTTATATTATCAGCGATCAATCGTACACAAACGCAAATTAATAGTGTCCGTTACAGGCTATGAAGACTATCGGTGCCTAAGTGATGTTAAAAAAAATATGTCAGACTGCAATGCATGCGCTTAATAGTGATCCTCACCGACTATTATAATTGGCAAATAATTAATTATTCCTTGTACCTGTGTCCCTGCAGAGCTGGATGAAAAATATCAGAAAAAAAAATGTACTACAATCTAATTGTGTCTAGAATGCGTTTTCTAGCGTTGCCTCTTTGAACAATTTAATTGCTTTCCTTTTATAAGATACGCATGGTAAGTTTTCATTCCTCCAGAAGGAGCTGATCGCTTTCAGATAGTGGTATCTACCTGACTGAATCGAACCGCAAAACACAGAGGTTTAAATTAGACTAGGCGAAATCTCTTCCAAAAGAAAAAAGAAAAAGGTATTTTGTATAGATCAGTATCACTGATAAAATTTTCCGCCATTTTGTGTGTTACAATAGATTTATCAGTGTCGTCGAGAACGTCGAAGGACCAAGTCCAGATCTTGAGTTACGTTTCTTAATCGTAAAGCTGCCACGTTGCTGTGTCAGCGTTGGCCGTAAGGCCATAAAGCGTAAACTGCATCATTTTTATTGCTGATATGCCGGCATCAGCAGTTTTCGGGAAACGGCGTATTATTATTACGCTAATTAACGGGGTCAGTGCTATGGCACATTTGAAAATTATCTTCAGATCAATCACACAAATTTTTTGGAATTCGAGCCAAACGCTACACGATTGACAAGCAGCTACGTTGAGGACATTTTCATTCAAAAATATATGTAATCTGTTTGCAGAATTAGGTTCATACGATTATTGACTCGAAAATCAGAAAATATTAACTTGGAAAATTCATGGAATTATTCAGCCTCTGAACCACTAGGCAAGATAAACCTTAGTTAGGAGGAGTGAGTTTCTGACGAAGGTAAACACAAGCAATATCCTTCGGAGAGACCTGAATATACGCATTTGATGGTAACGGTTACGGTCGTCGTCGTCGTCGTCGTCGTCGTCGTCGAAAGCGAAAATGTTTGTTTGCCGTTTTGAATAGCTCTCACGACGCTCAATGGCTTTTTTTTCGTCATCGGTCAATTTTACAAAATGGTTAAGCTTCAAATCTGTGAAACTCATAATGTTGAGCCTAAATATTAAGTATATGATAACTGTACATACTCAATAGAGTGGTGTGTCTCTATGGACAAAGCTCATTGATAAACACACAAGAATATCTGCAATGCGGGCTCTCGTTAAAAGTGTGTTCGTAAGCAATGAGAGAGACGTAGGCAAATTTAACTAGATAACTTTCTTAGCATCGCTGAAATGTACCGAAAAACGTTGCTCATTTTTAGGCGTCGCCATAGCGGTGGTTACTGGCAAGGTCAAGCCGACAGCACGATCGGCAGCCTTCTCACAATAGACGTAGGCCTACGAACTTGTTAACACGAAGTCCGAAGGATAAAGAAACTTGACAAATTCAATCTACACATATCTGTGAGCCCTTCGATAATTAACATGCACAGTTATATGCAACACACGGGTACATCAATCTCTAAAGTAGTATTACTCATTTTTCAAGCAGCCAATATTGCTGAGACTATTGGATCATCGACAGCCTCACTAATAGCAACGATATAGTAACAGCGTATTATTATAGAATGGGCGTCTGCATCTGCCGAGTGGGTTTTATTTTTTATTGTATTATTAAAAAAGCCAGTACAGGTTTAGCAATTGGCTCTTAGGGCAACTGTCAAAAAGGTTACCGGAATAGGAATACAGATCTTCCAGAATGCAGAACGGGGAGCAATATATTTGTCGTCGGTTTAAAACTAAAATTGTCCTGAAATGCCGTGAGCTGGACAGAACCTTAGACGAACTTCAGACGGCAAATAGGGTTAGCATAAGTTTGAGTGAAATGTTTCGATAACGGTACATTACATGATAGTTTAATGATTTTTGCGTGAACTTTTTTTGCGAGACCTACAGCGTTTGGCTCGGGGTGTTCCTTCTTTTATGTGCCAGTCTTACAACCTTATTAGTCTAAATGTCCACTTATATAAATAGACTAATTTTACATAAAACTAAAAAATGTTCAGTCAATTTAAATGATATAAACTTATTTTCTTGAGATTCCCGATAACACGGCACATTCGTTGTATTTTCACTCCAGATTAACTGGGTGAAGTTTATCAGAGCTAAAAAGTCAGTATAAACAGATTGATTGCTGCGTTAGGTTCATAGGGCTCGATAAATCTTTACAAATCGCGGGTTTTGGGCAGTCCGAACTTTTTTCTGAACTCATCAACAGCGATTGGCGTATTCGCTGCCACCTTTTGTTGTGGCCGTGGGGTGGAGGTTCATAACTCGTTTAAGAGAAGCGGGTGTTAATCAATGGGTTCCTAATAGGTATTACCAATAAATATGTCGATAGTAAGGAAACTAAATGAAAATTGAGAAACCTTAACTTCATTTACTCGATGTTCAACAGGTCTCCCAAGGGTACAGAACATATCAGTCTAGAAGCTAAGCTCCGTACCTTGCGTACATGTATGTATATTGTCTAGTGCTTCTCGGTCATTAGATCGCTAATAGTCTAATGATAAACGTCACGAAAATATTCTTGTTTCCCGACCCTTTGGCCGGTCGATGGCTTATAACGGCTTCAGTAATGGAACGAGATGTTGAAACTGTCTGGCCTAAAAACCAGCTTCTCTTGTTGGCCATCTACGACAATCAGATGTTTGAATAGTACTATGCGTCCCTCGAAGTATTCCGACTCGGGTCCTTTTGCTGGCTTGATCGCCTTTGCTTTCTGTAGTGGCTGCCGTGTGCGTCGGCTGGCCATACGGCCAAGCTGTGCCTGACGAGCGGCATCAGTAGCAGAAAGCGCGCATTCATCGACTTGATTGGACCGATGAACGAAGTCGCCGCATGTTTCGCTACCTCTGTTATTTTGCGTAGCGGCGTTACCTGGCTATTCGTGTTGGCGAAGTCCACTGCAGCTGTAACAGCAATCGAGGGACAGATGACCCACTTTGTCACGTTTCTCTCGCATGGATGCCGAAGCATCGACGAAAGATAAAGCAATGTGCAAAAGCAACGAGCAAAGAAAAAAAATTAGCTAACCAATAAAACTACTAACAGTCCTACCGATAAGCCAAAAAACATTCCAACAACATGGAAAAAAAAAATATATATATATATATATATATATATATATATAATTTATTTAAAGAGACTAGCAGCCGTTTTTTAAGTAAGTCCCATCAACGACACGTACTGCACAATGTATGTGAGGAAAAAAGTTAGATGTTTATTTTAAAGCGGTCTCTGACTACGGTCATCATTAAAATTAAATAAAATTAAATACCGAGTATAGTTCGTCTACGGCCACTGAACACTGTATGCGCGCGAATATTCAAAAGATGCGCCAATTATGAGGACAGCAACAGCGGCAGTTGAATGAATTGTACAGCCGGCACCACGTAAATGTTACTGATGACGCTTTTTCGTCCGTCTTTTGCGATAGCAAAAACAGAAGAGCCCATTGTTTTTCTTCGATGATCCAACGTTGCATGAATGTAAGGCATGTGGCGCTAGTAGCCATAGTAATGCCACGGAACCAGATAGGGCATGTCATTGTCAGCGCAAGCGACTGACGACAAATCTCACTAATTCCTGTCGCTACGCTGGTGACTGCGGATATAGTAAGTGGGATCCGCGTCCGTCCGTTTGTTTGGGATCTTCAACCCACTGCAAGCATGCATCGACGTCATAATATGCTTCAAATAGCTGCCGGTTCACGCTGAGGTATTTGAAGGCTTCGTATGAAAACGGACAGGAGCTATGGCATGTCTAGATCGGCTGAGTTTCTGCAGTCGCGTTGTTGCTATTGCCATTACGAGTTCGGTTCCCCCTGATGACCCGCTCGGTGTATTTGCTCGTCGCGCTCATTATCCAATCAAAAGGCAAACACGGGTCACGTGGTGCAAGGTCTACTCTTTGCTGTAGTACCCACGGTCGACAGGATAAAGCTGGCGTCTGTATCTTTCTAAACCATTTTCTGCTAGCGTTACCTCAAATTGTGCATTCGCTACTGCTATTGCGCCTCGTTTAGCCTGACGCCGCCTAGAGTCACCAGCGGTGACCTCATTGCCACCCCACAAGATGGTCTCGTAACTTATTTTCTCTGTTAGAGGATCGTTATTGAACATTTTGTCTTCGTTTTCACATGTTACTCTTGACTTTGTTTTTATTTGTTTAAAAGTTATTTGCACAGAGTAGAGAAACTAAGCACCCTGGTCACAACCCAACAGGTCAGTGTGAAAAATCACGGTAAATTATAGTTGTAGCTAAAACTAAATATATTTAAATAATGGCCAATTTTAACACATCGGACTGACGGTATGCGTAGGATTAAAAAGACAAACGTTCATTTAGACACCTGATTTCCAGCAAGTAGCTGTGGGCCGACACTACGAAAATCAAATCGATTATATATTAAAATTACGTTAGTATTTCAGCATCTGAATTTCGGCATCTATTGCAGCTGTCCAAGCTTACTGTGTAACGCAAAGGGTCCGCTAGAAGTGTTCCTTAAATATTTGCTAAAAGCTTCACTCGTGGCTTTCTGTTTCTAATTCTATAACTGTACAAGTTTGAATCTTTCTAACATTGCATTGCCTATTGGTACAAATGGTGACTGCGTCAAAGACTGACGGTGACTGTCATCGCCACATTTTACGCAGATCAATATAGTAGTTTTCTTTCGAAATAAGTTTCCAAAAGAAGGAGCGAATCGGCATCCAGTTTCATATAACAATTTGATAGCAGACACGTTACTGAAGCCATAAGTATGTACGCCAGCATTGTTCCTAATCATGCAGACGGAAAAATACGTCAACGTTTCGACTGATCCATCATTACATAGAAGACATCCATAGTTCTAGTAAATCACAACTCTTAGCTTGTAGCTGAATGATACACTGATGATTGTGCATTGCAGATATCATATTATACGTAAGTGTGGTGCCGGCTTCAGGCTTTGTATCGTAGTGTACTGCATAGACGAAGTTCCGGGCCCGTTGAAACGGTTGTCGATTTTAATTGCCGAACGGGGTTCACTGCAGAAAGTGAAGCTGGTTTATCTGTTATGCGAAAAGTCCCTACCGCTTCTACAGGTGGCGAAACCTTTTCATTCGAATACATCTACTTATTCGCTCTCACGTCCGCGATCGTTTGTCCGGTGTTCAGTCCGAACGAAGATATTCGTTGGGCGTGCTCTTACTATCGTGAGCAACGCTGGCTCAACTGGAAACGCAAAATAAACGCCTGCAATCAGCCACGGCCGCTTAGGTCGAGATTGGGGGTACATAGAGGGTGCCGGAAGCGTGATTCCCGTCGTACTGGTATGTACCCATTGCCTACCCAGCAAAACGAATTCAAGGTGAATTTTAACGAATGCAGTGAATATCCAGCTCGTGATCGATTTCAGTGATAACGTCTTTATGATCGGCTTTTACCTCCACGTTGCCTCACATCATGAACGTATATGGTGCATCTCTCGTGAGATTCACCTGAACTCAAGCATTATGACTGTGTTGAAAGATGTATTTTATCATTTTATGTTTACCGTTTTATCATTTGAATGCTTATCGCACTTACTCGAAATGATACCTGGGTGACGGATATGCATGCATGGCTATGATTTCTCACTTCGATGCTTTAGGCCTGCCTTACCGTAGTATCACGGTACTGATACCATCGAATGAAAAGCTTACCAGTATTTAACTGTTTTAGGTTTTAGTAGAAGAGCAGGTGACGATGACGATAGATACAGTTCTCAAGACTCCACGCCGTCGCCATCGTGGTACCACGAAGAAGACATGTAGGGTAGACGTCTCCCATTTTTCACCTTTCCACTGTATTGCCTTGAAAAATCTCTGGTCTTCTGGTAATCTAGTGACTCTATGTAAGCCCCGTTACTTTTTCGCTTACTATTCATTTTTCTATTTATTCTGGGCGTATCGTTTGGGCCTCGTGGTGGGGAACAGTTAAACAAAAGAATGCAGAAGACCGGGAGAATATGTATGCGTATGTGCGTCTATATTTGTGTTGAGGATCCTGCAAATGGAGGGAGGACGTCCAGGAGAATAAGTGAAGGATTGTTCTTTGTGTCGGTAACTCTTATATCCAGTTGTCCGTCTTAACTACTGCTGCTGTTGTTACATGCTGGCGTGGACGGCCGCCTGCTGTTCGCTTCTTCTTGACCTCGGCCGTTTCGGTCAGCCTACAAACCGTTCCTTGGATTGTCACTTGGCGAGTTGTGTTCATTAGCTAGTCACTGACGTTAACATGCAACCCGAAAGGCACGACGTCGCGCACACACATACACGCGTAGCGGATATTATGTGCCACCAATACAAAAGGGATAGAAGGCCTTTGAAATTAAAAGCAACTGGAAAAGAGTGCCGCACAACTACACACGACCGAGGCATTTCAACTGATGATAGTCTCGCCATCGAACGCAGCTGGATATCTTCTGCGTCTCGCTTCATTGTTTCTCCATCTGCTCGCGCAGGTTCATCCGTTCGTTCAATCGCCTATTTATTTCGCGCTTCTGACCTATAGAGTGACACAATGACAACACTGAAGAAGACGTTATTATTGATGTTGGTATACACTACCATTATTCTACGGGCATCTGTTCGTCGCTCGTAACACGACTGTGTTCTCATCAGAAAAACGCAGACTTGCACAAGGGCCAGGGAACGGCCGTTTTGCAAAGCCGCCTAAATGTACAGTCATCATTATCATCGATTGCGGTTACGGATAGAGGTATCCAGATAAGGCACGCGTCGAACAAGGGACTTTGATTGATCCCACTGCCCGATTATAGCGGTAAACTGTGGCAGGCTAAAACAGATGGCATCTTGAAACAAAAGACCTCTAATACCACCTTCAATTTAGGTAACGCCTTTTTACAGAAGATACTTCTGAGCAGGTAGCATTACGGCATAATAGTAGAAGCTGTAACGTTGCTTCGAATACGCCAAGCCCTGCAGTCAAGGCGCTCGTCTAACAACAGACTAGTAGACGCTTTAATACCTCTCGATTATTGCGCTAAAGCATTGCCATGGCGTGTTGAGGTACCGTGAGGGTTTGGGCCGCGCCATCGTACACGTAATCGACCGTCAGGGCAGTTGAAAGTTTTCTAATAAATTATTATGGATCTTACTATACTAGTCACAGTTACGATAAATATTACAATTATATAACAAGTATTGTATACACTGTTTTAGTGTTTCAACATGACGCTATTAATAATTCGATAACCAAAATTCAAAATCGTTTATCATACTCGAACGGTGAAATCAGTAAAAAGGTACGTGTCATCCAGTCAGGGGAACATTCAGAGAGAACATATCGACTCTATAGAATAAATATAATAAAATATAAATAAACACAGACGATTAGGCGCGTTTCATAAACCTGAAACATACACCACAATAAACTGTCATGCTTCGGCCCATCTTTTCCATCCTAGCTCTTTCCCTGTCCTCAGTTACCATCAACGTGTTTTATAGTTTCAAAATGTTTTTTATGCAGTCGCAACGACAACACACACACACACAGACACACACATACATAGTGAAAGGTTGTTGTAGAAGCCCGTATTCGTTATTTCTACAAAAAATTATTTACACCTTAAAAGACCAGATTAAACACAAGCATCGAATGCCACTGTCTCAGCAATGTATAAACGATCGGCTTAAAAGAAGGCGATTCTCGCATCATTGTTCTGTTCCAAATTTCACAAATATCGTCCGCTGAATAAATTATATCATATTGTGCCAATTTTCGATTTGTCAAAAAAAAAAACAGATAATTTCTGTTAGGAATGATAAAAAAGCTTATCATCTATGTATGCTTATCTAGCGATTAAGCGAGATGTAATATTGTATAACATTATTAGTACTATTATTATCACTATTATTTTATCGTACGGAATGAGCCCAGAGTGCCGACAGCATACGAGGACCCCATCCACCAATGCCATACGCTTTTTCGTTCCCAAGCAAAATTATAGCATTTCCGTTTTATGAACGTAATTACTGCACGATATAGGAACGGAATAAGTAGCGAACATTTTCACAGTTGTTTTGCATTGAGTGGGTGGAATTTTGTGTAGAAGAGATTAAATAAAGGATGGGCTATTGGCAGCCATTAGACAGAACTATAGGTATTGTGCTTTATGCAAAAACTGCCTGGTAAATATAACCCAAGGCGAGCGTGTTCACTGCAGTCTAGCTACTTTTCGACCAACTCTCACTTCCCACTAGCGGCCGAACGAGGCCGTTTCGTGGCACTCGTGTATTTGAAAAATGTCTACGATAACAAACCTCTTCCGCCCGGCTAGTGAAACCTGGCGAAGCTGCTCAAAATACTTATAATAGTACAATAAAATGCCACTAATTCAAGTGTACATATATACACTGGAGAGAACAAGTGATACGGTTTTCGATGCAAGTGATACACCTTCCTGGACTGTTGACATAATGGTTACGCGTCCCGCTTAGCATGATAGAACGCAACTTAATTAGTCCGTTCAAAAGAATATGAAGCATTCCGATAAGGCACAGATGTCCTATGAAGCTCGTACAACAAATGGCTTGAGCTTCGCTGGAAATTACTTCACGAAGACCTGTTAATTGTCGCCACATCTTTGATCGCAGTATGCAAGGTATCGGGGAGGGGAATGTTCCAACACAATTTCGTAGGTCAATTCGAAGCTATGCGAATACAGCAAAAGTCAATATGTATAAACAAATTATGACTCCTGAAAACGTTCTTTTGATTGAGCCTACCCGTTTAAAACGTGTTTTACTTTACATGGTGACTGAAAATCGAAATTGATGGAAAAAAAAGGTAGCTCGGAGCCTCGGAATGAAGTCGCATCGAAACTTTCCTTTAAACTTCCATCAACGTAGATGTAAAACCTGCTTCTTATCTGGTCCCACTATTAATAAAGCCTAGAAAAAATACGAAGCATAATGGTATTTTACCAGAACACATCATTAAAACAACAATTGTAAATAAAATTAACTACGGAACTATTTAAAAAGCGAAACCATGAAATATATTGGTCTCAAATGTCTTTTGAAGCTGCGTGCGCACGATTCGAATACGCAGGCGAAAGAGAAGTGCACGTGTTCGAGGTGGCCGTCCTCGTTAGGCGAACCTCTTTAACGTGTAAGAGTGATAAAACGAATACTCAGGCTTACGCAATAAGGGAAAAATCCTACCGGCTGCTTGGATTTAGATTCAGTGGAGAAGATCTCATATGCAAATATTAATGTGCTTATACATTGTTCCTTATTACAGATTGGCACGAAAGCATGCTCCCGCTATTTCTGTTGAGCTTACCACTGGGGTCAGTCAGTCAGTGGCCCGAAAGTACGGGTGCGATGCTTTGTCGCGAGTTGTTCTCAGACTTCAAGGAACACTGCACATGCAGACAAGATTCCCTCTCAAACGGGACCAGGATAAACTGCGATGGCCGATCATTTTTCGGCACATTTGTCGTCCTGCCGTATCGACAGAACATTATTCAATACAGCCAAAGTCATGCTGGTAAGTTGGCAATATATTCGTGCAGTACTGTTGATAGTTACGTTCCTATTCTGGCTATAAGCACGAGATAGCATTCATACTTGTATATTACGTAGATAAGACTAGGAAAAGGCAAAATGTTATTTGAAACGCAAACATAGTATAGTAGACAGAATTTTTCATGTCTGCACTTTTTTCAGTAAAAGGTACGTACAGGCATGACGCATCGAAAGCCATAATGTTATTTTTATTTTGCTAAGGAATCGAATGGGTATTTGTACCTCTCTCTCTTCCGTATGTTCAAGTACCTCTACCTTTCGTAGCTTTTTTTTTTTTAAGTCAACCGTCTCTCAGTGTCTTAGACAGATGCGCTTAGCGATGACGGCGACAATCGGAGATTTCTCTAACGGTCGAGTCCAAACGCAGCCGTTGGTAACGTCGAATCCGTCAAAAATATCTGTGGAATACACGTTTCATAGGGTTCGATATTGTAGTTTCGCACACCGAGCGGCATCCAAGCGATCAAACAGTATCATGCACTTTTAGCGGTACTGTGAATTTGAGAATACTTTCTCTTTTATGTAAAATATCAATGGTGAATTTGATTGGCTACCGTGCAGGCCTTTTAGTTAGTTAATTCGATGGCCAATGATGGCTTCTTTTCAAGCGGAGCCGATTTTCAGGACGCGGCAAACCATGAGGGGCATTTAAATGTTCATAGCCTAATAGAAATATGGTGAAAATACCCTTGAAAATGAATACTCATATAAGTACCATATTATAATCATGACAATTACGAGTTTTGGCAGTAATAAAGAGCCGGCTCCTAAACGACCACCCAGGAGTTCTATTGTCGGCTGCTAACGTGGAGCAAACCAGCACTTACTTAAAAAATGTGTCGTTCTACTTACTTGTGTGCGCTCCTATGTACGATTCACTCCCTTACACTAAAACGGATTATGTGACTGATCGACAAATACATAAACGGTCAATGGCCAACACGCTAAAACGGAATCGTCTTTGGCTGCTTCTTTAGCTTAATAATAGGGCAGCATAATTGAATAGTGCATAAAATCTTTTTTTTTTTTTTTGTTATAATGATATTTTTTGCTGGTCAAAAGGTTCAGGCCTCTTCTATCTAGCTGACCGTTGCCATCTTTTTTTTTTTTTTTTTGTTATACTGTGACCCCATTTATATGATTTGAACGCTTTCAGAAGAATATATATATATATATATATTGTTTGCTCAATATAAAAAAGCAATGGTGAATCATTTGAAATAGATGGGATCTATCGCGTGGACACTTCGTCTAATAAAAGCCAGTACGCATTGCACGAGTCGACGTGGACCGACTTGCCACGCACGGGTGCCACTCTGTTATTCGTGAAGCCGTCCTCTTTGATTAAAACTATGTGTAATTTTTATATTCGACCCGCTGCTTCCATAGCAACGTTATTGCTCGAAGTATCTTTTATAGAGATGTGCTACTGAAGAGGTTTTTCAAAAACAAGGTAAAGATCGAGAAAACAGTAACATAGCTTTATATGAATATACTCTTGGGTATATGTTGTGGCATTGAGTTACTGCAATATGGTTCGATTTTATTGTACCATTGCGGTTGCTTCACAGGTTTCTTTCCTCATATGCTCGGCCACGTTATATGGCTGGCACGCGTCTTTAGATCCATGCATCCTTACATTCGTTTCCGTTATCTACAGGCGCGTTAAAGTTCTCCTAAGTTTATGTGGTTATCTATACAAGTGATAGGACGAGACGCTATATGGCGACCAACATTCTAGAAAAATCAAGTGCATACACTCACAGAATAAAGTGCTGTCGCGGTGGAAAAATACCAAATGTTAAGTTCGTATTTCGCGCCACTTCGTTACTCTTTTCGGGTCCTCGTGCAAAAAATTTATCCTCTACTGGGTCCATATCACGGAGTTTATTTGTTTTTTTTTTCTCTCTTTCCTAGACATTTAAGGATCCTGTACGCTCTATTTAAAACTTTATTTTGAACGGATCACGAAATGACTCCCTCACAAATTAGCTGTGTGGTAAAAAAAAAATGTGTAATTGCCTATATAGCCCTCAGTGATACGGTATTTTGATAAAACGCCCTACTTTTAGTACGGAGCTGCAGACAGCTTTGACAATCACCATCGCTTGGCTACGTTCCGCACAACTAGCTCCGCAATTTACAGCAAGAGTAAGATGGCATCTTCCAAATTCGAGCGACAGGTGCCAAACTCGTCGAAAAAAAAAACACAGAACGTACTAAACATGGCGCCGATATTAACCGTTCTTTCTTCCAAAGGAAACACCTTACGGTAGGGATCGTGCGGCTGCACTTCGGAGATGAATCGTTTTAACCAGAGCAAGAAAATTACTTGCAAGCGCTAGAACTACTGGCACAGACGTTGCCTTGCCTAGTGGTGATGGCGGATGATGATTGGCGGAAACAATTTGACAGATTCAACATGCTCATTAGTTACTAGCGTTTATAACCGAAGTCCTGCTTCTACATGAGAATTCGACATGTCAGTTACTCGTCTGAAAAAGACAGTCGCAGACAAAGCTACTCTAAATGGACGGGCAAGCGCATATGAAGACACGTGGCATTCAGTGGTCAACGTTGCCGACGTCCATTCCATCATGCCGTATCGTTTTGAAATGAGGGATTTTTGTCTTTTGAACATCCGATGATTCCTCTCCCTGTAGAAAAAAAGTTTCCAGCCAAAAATCAGCGCAAAACTTTTGCCGGCGTATCGACCGCGCTCAGACACTCTACAATATTATATTAACATTTATTCTTCGTTCTGTTAAAAATGAGTAGTCCAACGCTACCCGCTACGGGGGACCTCGGTGGAGTCGCTTTGTAGCGGGGAAAAAGGAACAACAGAACAAAGCTGCGCTGTTAAATAACGCCAAGCTAGCAAAATCGTTACCCATTCGGTTGAGGTCGCCGAAAGCTTTTTGTCGAGATATTTTTCTCAGACGAAAAATCAGTGTTCAGTTATGAAGAAATGTAGAGGAGCTTGTCTCGGGCAAGTATAGTCTGTTTCGGATGACACACACTGTGTCACAGACGAATGCAGAAAAAATTGTTGGTCTAACAAGTACGCGTCGGCATATTTGAACGAGATCTGCGTTTAATTTTTTTTTTTGTCCACTTCAACCCGTTTGTTAAACGATACGCACTACACGAACTGTTGTTGGAAAGTATATACAACAATTAACAGATGTCATGATATGACATATATCTGGATGGCGACAAAGGCAAGGGTCTTTCTTATAATCGTTAGTAACGAATTTACCTACCTTATCAAGCTAACCAGGCGGAAACTTCTACCAGAAATTGTTAGTAGTCAAGAGGGTTAACGTGCTGCTACGAGACCACAGGCATGTAAAGGTCACGAGAAGTTCGGATTGCTTGTAGACGAGCGATGATTAAGAGATAAAATGAAGACATGTTTATGTTACCTTCTGTGTCCGCTTTGTACTTTCTTATGAATTACAATTGTCGAGAAAAATGAATTCTCGATTAGTCCAAAGCTTTTAACAATATCTGTCCGATTTTTGTCAAATATATATATATATATATATATATATATATATATATAATTTGCAGTGTAGTTAGGCGTAGAGGCCTAAATGTGGGTTGCGCAAATTAAGAAACCGTCACAGAGGCTGGATAAGCTTTACAGTTTAGAGTGCCTAGGATTAAGGCTTTCCATGACAAATGTTGGTTTGCATCGATTCCGTTGCCATCCATATATAAACATACGAATTTCCGTCGAAAATCGTCTTCGTCCACAACTGCCGGAATAGTAATTTGAATTGTCTTGAGACTTAATTAATTAATTAATAATGAACATTTCTGTCATACATTCTGTCAGGTAAAAATGCATGATGTGATATTTTTTGCATAGGATTAACACACAGTGGTGTGAGAGTTCTCTACGGATTTGTGTGCTATACAGCTTTGTTACCGTTTGACTTTTCTCTGTAGAGCGTACGCACTGAGGGTAGCGAGCCGTTGATTCAATCTGTGCTTTGTACTATAGAGCCAATGGAAACACTTTGATTTTTTTTTTGCCGGCTGTACCATTTGTAATGGCTCAGCTGCTCGTGTTTTGACACATCTCATTACAAAATGTGATCTGTTTCATTTTCACTCTGTTCCATTTCAAAAAATCAAAAATTTCGAAAAAGCACAACATATTATTAGAAATCTATTACATATATCATAATGCTTAAATCGAAGGAAGCTTTACGGTAACGCTTTTTAAAAAACAGTAGAACGGTAAATTGCGACAATAGAAATCGCTAGAGATTTGTAAAATATATCCGGCAACATTATACATGGAATAAGTGATTAAATGCATGTATTTCTAAAGCAGCAATGACGGCAGCTTCAGAAATTATTGAGTACGTTTTGGTGGTAGTATTTTTCTTGTATCATATAAGAATAAGTTGGGTCAGGGTTATTACCTAGTTATTAATAGGTTAATTAAATATAGTTTGGTAAATATAAAGTTTATTAATGACTCTTTCTCCCAAACGTAATGGCTAGCATACCTGCAATCGTGATATCTTCAAATGCATTGGCCAGGCCAGTCAAATACTCATACACGTTGCGCCTTAAATTAGTGCCTTGACCTTCAGGGAAATACTTCCAGTAACATTGTCTGTTGTTCTAAGTTCTTTTATCTCTTCTATGCTTCAGTGAATGCAGAACTATCAGTGGCAAAGGGCACCGATAATTCTACTATATATAGCGGTGTGAAGGAGATAAGTGAAGTTATCAAGCCAGACTGCTCCAGAAACAACACCAAAAAGCTGGAAGCTCGAGGTCCAAATTGATCAGTTACCCATGATTGATAAGTCGAACCGAAGAAAGATTCGAAAGTGCTACTGATAGTATTCTAAACGCCTTCAATTAGATCTGTTTCTTAAAGCTACGATGACCGAAGGAGGAGTGTTGCGTTAAAAGAAACGCCAGTGACGAATCGTCCAACCTATTTCGGCGGGTTATTACATCAACGATCTGATAAGGCCCTCAATAAAGATGCTAAAAAACAATAACAGGTCTTCTAATAAGTTCGCTTGAAGATTAAAAAAAAAAACAGCCTCGTGCACAGCAAACCACCGTTACAGACGTCAGAGTTGCCTCAGAAAGTCAAATCTGAGCGGTACCATTATTATTGTTATTGCGGCAGATACCAGATAGCGAATAAGTATCTAGATCGCGTTTAGTCAATCAATTGTGCTTCAGTTTGTATGCGGGCTCCAAAGTAGTTATGTAGGTAATGAAAATTTTGCAGCCTGTAAACCAGCTGCGGAATTTTCAAGTAATTTATTTGGTAAATGGAAAAATCTTCAGTTGCTTAATGATTTGAATTCGGCTAAAGTCCGATCTGAAATATCCGATGAGAAATGTAATTTTGGAGATGGAGTACGCAAAAAAAGGAGAACGGAAACGCGCAAACGTTTATCCGTAATATCGTTCACTTACACCAACGGTATGGGCCTTTTTCTATCATTCTGTTTTGTTTGAGTAAAAATAAAAAAGAAAAAATTAAAAAAACTATAGACAGATCTCTGTTATCATTAGGAAAGGCCAACCATCGCTGACTGGCGTTGTAATATGCCGTAAATATCTATGGGATCGTTGCGCCTCCTAAAGCGGTTAGCGCGTGCCCACGTGTATCTGTCGTGTCGCTTTCCGTTCTGCTTTTGAGGTTCCTATAAACGGCGCTCAGCATCGTCTAGAAAAGGTCAGTGTTTGAAAGGGATAATAATTATCTCTGTTAGCTCGTTGCTGCACTCTTATATCATATGAAAGACCTAGGGATCAAACAGATAATTCGTGGTGAAGGTTTCCACAGTGAGAAACACGCTCCTCGTGCTTGACTTCTTCTAGATCAAATGAAAGATTATTTTTCAGTAGGCAAGAGCCAGTATACTTTTGTCGGTTGGCAACTATACTGAATTAAGTGGTAAACAATCATGTTAGCGACATAGAGTTTCCATAAATACATACGATGGTCATATTTAAACTTATAATAAACATTTTTTCAATGGAACACTTATTATCGATAATATTCAGCTAAGGTGTATTACATGTGCCGAAACTGATGGCAATGGTAACCGAAACCTCTCGTGACGAAAATGATGCGCGATACTGTCTTAAAGAATTACCTTGATCCACAAAATGTAGATATCGGGTCGAAATTCGACTGAACGGACAGACAGCTAAATAAAGGTGTCAATTTGTGACCCAATTTGATTATAGGCGCGTGTTGCTCGGCTGTAACAAGACAAAAACTTATATTGACTATATCAGTTACCTTCGTGAATCGTCAGCCGACGACGGTTAGCTAAAATCGCCTGGGCGTAGAGGAGCTCAAATCAATGGTACCTAGTTAGCTCGATTGATGAAGTACATTTTACGAAGTACGCTTTCAGTGCTACATTGAGCTAATTGTATATTAGTGTACGGCTCAGGCGGCACATCCCGGCTTCTCATAAGCTCACATATAATTATCTTACGACTCAATGGGCTTAAACAGTCGGTAAAAATAAGCTGCGGGTCATGGCGGGCGTGTTTTGTATGACTGCTTTGTATATTATTATTATACAGAGTACACTAAATGTTAAACATCTATAGAGCAACTGTTATTACGATGATCTCAAATTCAATCGAATGTTTTTTTTTAAATCTCAGTAACTAACAAAATTATTTGTCTTTACGTTTTCCCTTCATTGCGAATGGGAGCAGTGGTAGAAACAACTGCTCGCCACTCGGTAGAGTGGTTAAGAGGTGGTAAAGAGAGTGGTAAAGGAAAAGCTAAACAGTCCATCCTTAATGTGATAATGTTTTTTCTTTTTATTGACGTAATAAAATAACACCGGTTGTTAAGTCATTTTTATGTACACCATATTTGATCGTTATTGTGTACAGCGTAGATTTGTCCAATATTAAGTGGAGCTAGATGTGTTCTTGCTTAAATGTAAAGTGATCACACGCCATGTAAGGTAGCCTCAAAACATTTAAAATCGCGTTAGGAACTAGGTGCAGACAAGTAACGTAATAAACATTTCTTTTCGACATTTTCCTCAGGCGTCCACCGTAGGACTGCAATTTTTGATGATCAGAATCGAACTTCCGTAAAACGTTGCCATTTCAATTTAGAATCAAGGTGCTTTTTACGTATGCATGGACTGCACGTTCTTCGTAGAATATTGTATTAATTACTTTCTTTTTTTTGCCAACGACAATACGAGTTATATTTAGTACATTTTCAAATAGCCATCCTTCGACGTGCAACTGCACGATTCTAGTACAGGCGTCTTTAGAAGTGTCTAACTAGTTGCAGACGCAAAGGTTCGAGCTTCGAACAAACGATGTAAGCAAATGTCACGCGGCCATTTACACAATCGGATTAGCAGAGCTTTAACCTGACCCATATTTTTTGGTTAAGCGATATAGCAGCAGTCGCCTACTGCCTTCGCCAGCGTCGTTTTTACTAACTATTGGTCGACCTGTTTTTGACCACAGGTTATGCTTTGTCCTTAGAGCCGAAGATTAGGACAAGCAAAATTTTATATTGCTATTGCGCTATCTATCGAGATTGATTTAGTCGTTTCTACATTTTTTCGATGGTCAGATCCTTCTGACATGGATAAATCCGTAGGCTTCCTAGAATTGGCTCGTTACGATATACACTATTTGTGTGTGAACAAAATATATACCTAATTAAAAATTGCCAAATAACGATGTAAGATGGGTAGGAAACAAGACTTAGCATGATTATTACCATTGCTACCAAATGACTGTGGCATCTGCCCTACAGAAATTCTACTTTGATTGACTCGCACTAGATGCTTGTACAATTGGCCACATATTACAAGCTATATATATATATATATATATATATCTGAAGATAACCATTCTTCTGATGAGTGAATTTTGCTGTATGTTATTGACATTTCGAAGATGAATGACGTGCCGGTCTGATGCTTGTCTGTACTGTTCTGCTATAGCAGTATTTGAAAATCTGTATCAGTCATCGTGATCACTTGGCTTCTGGGTTAGCTGCTAGTAACGGTCGCCATTATGCTCCATATAGCGTTGGCATTAAGAGAGCAGACAATTTAATATTAGACAAATTGCAGACACCATATGTAATTTGACGTCACAGATGTTCGAAGATCATTTCTGAGTGGCGGCGAAACGAATAAATGAAGAACTTTTTGAAGATGCTTCTAACTCGAGCTTATAGCAGAGCTTGAACGATATGACTTACGTCTAACGATTACCTGGATTGTTACTGTAGAAGCCGCTCTCATGTAAACATTACTATATTGAAATATAAAATTGCTGGAAAATATCTTCTGGAAAAAGAATTCGCGTTTCGGCACTTAATACGATTTTGTGGCGTTTGGGGGCTAAACAATTGCTTTTACTTCACCTTCAAAGTTAGACAAACATCTACGCGGCTTGGCTACGGGCCGCTGCTCGAAAAATTAAAAGAGAAATAGTCGATTCTTTTGTTTATGGCTAAAGACGTAATTCATACTCAGTTTAATCGGGAGACTTATTTGTGTCGCGTGTTTAAAATAGTAGGGACAGAACGAGGCTACCTAACGGCTAACCTATGGAATTTTTCAGGTCTTCAAGATTTGGAATCGCAATTATTTACAGCCAGTGACATACCATTACAGATACTCGATTTTTCTTCGAACCTTCTTAGAAGAATTACGGATAAGGTAGGTTATCGGCAGTAACTGTCTTGTTATTTTTTTCAACGTGTGCCAGCTTTTGTTATTAGATCCTACTAATACAATCACTCTAATCTCCATGGATCGACGCTTTTCAGCGGAGAACATTACCAGGCTTACCTGGCCTATTTACTGACGAAACTATACTGCTATCAAACGGGTAGATACTAAAAACGACTTCGAGTCGTAATGCTAAAGTCTGAATAGGTGCTCATGCACGATTTTAAGGGAAGTTCAGTCCCATACGTGGAGGACACTAACTTTTTAAACTACTAACTATGTACGGCTCATGTTCAGTTGTTTAGTCTCTCTCTTGGAGAGAAATAAATAGCAATTGTAGAAAGCTTAAGCACGCCTCAAAAACTACCATTATGGCTATCAGTCGAATCTGACGACTTAAAATCACTATCGTTAAGCATGCAACTAATCCCTATAATGTATAGATTACCAACCAATATTTCAAGTTAAGTTAAAACCAAATGCCGCTTTTTTCACATTTAGAATAACTACAGTTCTACGGAACTCTTCCTTGACGCTGTTCCGTAAGTTCACATGCGCGCAGGCGAGATAAAAGTAGACGCCAGATTGGTGGCACACCGTTTAGGTAAAGGAGCTTCTATCTAAGAGTCCTGACCTTTATTTGAATAATACCTTTACTGTCACATACCTACACGTATGAAGAGATATATAAACATTGATGGTACCATGCCAGTTATCTGTACTAACCTTCTTCCCCTCCGTTGGTTCCTTTTCTGTCGGCTGTCACCTCCTAGATACCCGTAAGGTAGGATTTATTTTTGAAAAAAGATAGCCTGCGTCGAATCGTAAACTTCGAGATAGTTTAGCATGAACAATTAGACCATGTAATGCTGTATAGCAGTAACGTGTCTGTTTACAAGTATCATAAGGATATGTATGGTAGTCGAAGCTGGGTCGTTTTAGTTGATGCAGTATTGAAAATATTTCCTCCTTGAATATATTACTGACGCATACGTTTATGATTATATAGGTATTCGATGGCATCGAGGATACTCTCGAACATCTCGAGCTTTCGCACAATCTCCTCGGTGATCAACTTACTCCTGTTTTTGGTTCGAAAGAGTTCAATCGCCTGAACAACCTCAGGTACCTTGGCCTTAGTGATAATCTCATTAAGGCTGTTGGAGACAACACGTTTCGTGGCCTCGTCGCCCTAAAGGTATGCTTGGAATCGCTGAAAATCTCATATGTGAGAATGATCAATGTAGCCCGTTAAATGATTTAGTATAATGGCATAGCGAGCGCGTACTTCGATCGCTTAGCCTCTCGCTAACGTCATCACAGAAAATCTTCACACACTATAAAGATCCTTTGAAGTCTAGTTAGAGAACAGAAGCATATCACTATAAAGTAAGCCTAGATTGCTAAAGGGTGGACTAACAATTGTGCATTGATCTATTACCTGCTGGAGCAGACACGCGTGCGAACTAATTGCAGAAGTAACGTAAGTTTTTGGCCGCGCGTTTCTTTTTGAGAATTGAAAATTTTGCTATTCGTTTTGGCGATCTATCTGCTACCAGCGTGTGTGGCAAGCTTGATTTCTTAGCTCTATGAGCAAGCAGGGTTATGCGGGGTGCCTAACAAACACTATCGTTGCTTCATCCGACCTCACTCGGCAAAAAAAGTCGTTGCTCTTCGATAAAAAAAAGCAAAAGCAAAAATATAATACCGGGAAGGAATAAGCGTTATGCTATTTTTAGATTTCGGCGGTGAAGACCACTAATAGCCGTCAAAATTCGCCGTTGTTATGTAAGAAGATTGCTGCTGCTGCTGCCGCTGTTGTTGTTGTTGTCGTTTTTTTTCGGGGATGCTATGCCCACTTACGATAGCCACGGCTGTCGTTGGTCGTTGTAGCAGTATTTGCTGATGTCTAGATCGTTACTTCACGCCAAAAATAAACAAATCTCTATATTTCACGTTAGGAACATTTGCTTGCCAGTGCTCCGTGCATATATGCAAACGTACGTTTACATTCAAAAGAATTCGTGTAAATTTGCTTTGTGTGATACAGGCATGTTGAATTAGAATAGTTAGGGTGTGAAGGTGCATGAAATCGTATAGGAAATGCGTTTTAGTACAAAAAGCTCTAAATGTCAAGCTGCTTGTTAATGTTATCTGTAATAGGTCATGTATTCCATCACGAATATCGTCAGGCTATTTCGCGTAAAGGATTCTATTCTATTTATTTATTATTTATTTACGTTATCAAATTCTTCGAAAAATGAATATCTTGTGATAGATCGTGCCTTATTTATATAATATAACCTAAAACAAAGTCATCATATTTAGCTATCCTAGAAGTTTCTTTAGAGTTTTATAGGTGTTAAGAAGGTTCCCATTCACGTTTATGGTAGGGCAGAAAAATGACAAATGGCCCGAATTTATGCCCCGCCAAAACTTAGACTGGACATATCGTAATATACACAACATTGTAAGATTTTTTTGTTCTATTTACCGCCGATTTCAAGGTGGCATTCACCAAAATATCGAGGGACCGAATTTTATTCAAGTTCACTAAAGCAAGAATGAATTTCTTACGAGTTCATCCGGTTCATTATTCCAATTTTGCGGAAGAACCGTATTACGATACAAAGCGACATGGTAAAAGTGGAACCCCTTTGACAGGTGATAGAAGCAGCTGAGGACGACCACCTCGACTCCCTATATCTTTTTAATCCCCTGAACGATCTCTCAGGCAAAAAATCGCGAGTCCGTGACAGAAAATGTTCCCATAGACCTCCAGATCATCTGTTGAAGATCTTAAGATAAGTCGCTCTAAGGGCCAGTGAGCCTTAGCCTTCATCTGTTTACAACGGATTCCGACCTAGAAATCAACTTAGACAAAACTAGGGCCAAAAGAATCCGAAAAACAGGACATTTAAAGCAAATGACGGTCTCCGCTCACTGCTGTCGTTGCTAGTCTGAAAACACTAGCAGCAAGAGGTGCCGTAAAAAAGGTCCTCGTTTCTCTCTACGGACACGACAATGCGTTTCTTTCATGTCAAACTTATACCACTTGTTTCGTAGGGCATAAAACTCATCTGGGAGGATTTAGGTACAGCCCAAAAGAGTAGGCTAGACCGAGTGGAGCTTGCGCTTCTTGGGTCTGCACACGTCCTGGCATAACCGCTACTTGTTAACGATTCCTAACGTTAATTTGGCCTATTAAAAATGTACGATTAATGTACTTAAAAATGTACTTAAAATTTATGCGACAGCCGAGACAATAAATTATTGAAGTCCTAGAATACATTGAGACTAACGCTGTGGTGGACAAAAAGCTAGCAGAAACTGCACAGGAAGGATCGATATGTGGTACTGTGCTACATAGTGCATGGTTTCCACTATGTCGGATAAGGGGATGAATCGTACCGTGTACCCAACGGAAGCTGCACTTGTGTCTGCCGCGGAAGGCCTTGTAAGCAATACTATGCAAGCTCGTGTTTAAGGACGCATTTCCTGAATAATATGGGTAAGCCGCTACTAGTGCCGCTAGTGGTCGTGCTAAATGTTTTGTTTTCTATTTCTATTTTTAAATAGAAAAACATAATAATCCTAAAATGCATACATACGAAATACCTAATCAAGGTGAAAATAAATGATGATAATAATATTAATCCCAGACACATTCTCACCATAGGTTCGGTGAAAGTCGTCATTGCCTCATTAGGTCATCCTGCAAAGATGATCTGAACGCCAATTTTCCGGCTATCTTTTCCTGATGTGACCTACTTTTAGCTAGGCGTATTTTAAACTGTTTTAGATATAAATCGAGTCGGAAAGATCTTGGTGACTAACACGCATCTCTTTGAGCGTGCTGCATAAGCCTTACTTTAAGTTTCAGCGTTGACAAATAGTTACTACCTATTTTCACTTTGGTATGGAAACTCCACGGGTCCAACAAGATTCATTTCCGGTATACTCATGCTGTTTAGAGAAGTGAACTCTAACCATATGCTCGCACAAAAAATGCACGTACTTGAACATACGAAATTGGGAATAACACAGTATATCGACCGCAAATCCGTGAGGCTATATTTGATGTTAAAAATCGTAGATCTTTAAAAAGATATCTAAATATTTCATGCATATATAAGTCTTGTTAACACGCACAAAAAACTCAATTGTTTTGTCCAGAGATTTTTACCTGTTATCAGTAGCTTGTTGTAAAATACGCCCAATATCGTACTATATACTGTTGATATTACATACGTTCGAAAAGTATATACTATCTTTAGATATTTAGTAGAATATTACGTCAACACATCAGCGTCCGTATTTTGTTTCGATGGCGGTACCACACGAGAACAACAAACGATATAATTGTGCAAAAAGATCGCAGATCCCTAAATAAACAACCATTTGAAGGTGCAAATAAACACCTCAGTATTTCAAGTCCCAGTTGAGCCCTCACCGTCGCTATTCCATCACGGTCACTGTTGTCACCTGTGTTTTTTTAGGTGTTTCGGTCTGCCGTATTTAGAGGCCATAAAGCCTGCACGTTCTAGTATCACTTTACCCGCCAGGTTATATGGCGTACAAAATAAAGGACAATCGAATAAGGCAGCATTCATTAACAGATACATGCGCTTCGTATAACCCAGACTGAAACGATGTCATAGTTAATTGACTTCCCAAAAAAAAAAAGCACAACACTATATCAAACAGTAAATAGGGAATATCGCGCATATTGCCCAGTTATTACGAAAAGCCCATGTACCACACTATTAATGCGGCCAGTTTGGTTCAGGTCATATATTTTCGAGATTGCTCATGTCTACATATAGCGCACATAGGAAAAAGGTATGCGTTGTATGTATGACACCTTATGAAGTACGATACGATTCTCTAATTCATGAAGTGTGGGTTTACGTGAAAGCTATACATTCATCAAACCAAGTTCAACTATGAATAGGCATCGGTCTTTTTCTACGTTGCTATGTAGTTTCCAATTACTAGGTTGCTTACACTCGAACTTTTACACTTCAAAACGAACTTCAAACACAAACAGATCGATTTGATTAGATTCAAGGCCTGGAAGTGTAACGTCGTACTCGAAATGGAAATCCCGTAGGGTGATTCTATCGAACTCATTTCTATCTTCATGAAGACTATTTCTTCTTATTTTCAAACTGACCGATCATCTAGTGAAAAAGGCTAGTCATAATACTGGTCATACATAGAGGTACAGCAACAGTCTATGCAAGACTAGCACAAGACAATAAAATAAAAGATTACAGCCATGCAAGTCTTAGTAAACTATGTCTATTTTACCGAAAAGCCCTTTTTACGCACGCAATGTGTGAAAATTATCGTGTTTTTTTTCTAGTTGTTATAATTACCCATTTGGATTTTAACGGCCTGAGAAATAATAAAGCTAAACGTACCTGAAAGTAATTGTCGTTCTTATCTACTGTTTTTTTACAAGCTGTAGCAAGGATGTTTGCGAAAAAATAAATAAATGAGCCAACGTTAACTTCTGTTAATTGATTTAGATTATTTTATTCACGACGCTATCGGTCCTTGCTTCAAGTCTCACGATTTGAACAACCCCAACAACAGTCAAATCTATGTTGGAACTTGTTGCCAACTGTAACTTACAACAGCTTCAAAATGCTAACTGGCTAGCGAAACTTCAGTCACATTATTCTGATTTGAGTGTTGTCCAGATTGTTATAATGCTTTCACTTATTAATACGAACACTTAGCGATATGTAATTGTTGTTTTATAACATTAACAGCTTCATTTACTTGGCAAATATTTGTGCTTAGACAAGGCTAATTTCATTAGGATAAATATAGACTAGACCATGCGCTAGCCGGGGCAGTTTTTATCGTACGTAAGAGATAAAAGAGAAAAATCAGTTGCCCTACCGTTATCGCCTAATTACTTCTTATTTAGTTTAAATTGGAATACTATTCTGACATTTTCTAGAACAGTGACGGTAGCGAATTGTCTTGTTTGACTATGTGCCCGCACGCGATCTCCATATCATATATTCGTCATTGAGCGTCAGCTTATGTTGCATAGCCTAATTTACAAAATTGTTTCCCGTGTGTTCGCTAGTAGTTTGAGAAAAACTACAGCAAAAACGCTTATCTACTACTAATAAAGCAGCGTTTCAATCGTCTAAATTGCGCTTTTATACCTATCCGAAA